GAAGTGGTCTCTCTCTCCTCCCCTTTGTTCTTGCTATATGGAATGCGAAACTTGATGTTACCCTCCATGTTGCAAATTGATACACACAAACACACACAATTTTTTTGATTTAATTCTGGTCATCTCCTAAAATCATCCCCCTTTCTCAAAGTTACAAGTTATTGCTTCCTTTTCCTTCTATGTGATAGGCAAGTAGCAGAGACAAATTTGAAATCTTTTAGGTTTTGAGTTTGAACATTTTGATGTTTTTCTTTCATTAAAATTTTTGTTCATGTTGTTTTCTCCTTTCATTCACTTGATCTGAACCTGACTTTTTTTGTGACTGCATGTGAAAGAAGTTGGTAAATTTCATGTTTTATTTTGTGAATTCTGATTTTCCCTTTCTAAAAATTAAGGCCTTGGCTTTTGTATATGAATGCTTAAAAAGAACACTTTTTGTGTGTGAGTTTTTCGAGTTTTGTTAAATAAATAGTCAAAAGCACTGCAAGTGATCATAGAGGCCCGCTAACTTAGATAGCTGTTTAAGTACCTTTTCCTTATGTATTTGCATAGATCTTGCCTTTCCTTTTCCTTTTACAAGAATATCATTTATTTATTTTAGGTTTACAAGACAACCAATTTTTTTAATAAGACAATGATGTTTTTAGATAAATTACATATTTTGTTCATATTAAATTTTTTCTTTTAAGGTGCTTTTATTATATTGTTTTTTTTTTTTTTTTACAGAGGTATAGAAATTAGACGTGATTATAGAAACTGTAATAATACCAAAAGTGATTGCTACACACTGCACCTATACTGAAGTTGATGAACTCTTTGCATAAGAATTCACGACAACATAATTCAATCATATAGCTTTTTGGCAGATTGGATTCTAGTTATCTTGCTTTCATTCTTCGAGATTTTCTGTTCCGATTGCTCATTCTTAGATATAGCTTTTGCAATAGCTTTCATCTTCCGGACATTCTTTGTTCGCTTCATTTTGATGCCTTTAGTCTTCCTATGTGGCCCACCAATAGATGTTCTGGAAGCTCCCGGCTCTGAAGTATCCATTGCTTGAGGGACATGGAATACTTGCTCATCAGAGGTGAGGTCCATCGGGGCTGAGCCATTTTTCAATTTCTTCTTCTTATTCCTGTCCTTCGCCATAATCGAAGCTTCCAAAGCTCCAAGAGGGTATAAGGTTTTGCTTTTATTATATTGTATTTAGAAGAGTTTCAACATTTCTGTCCTACGAACAAGACAACCACATTTGGCCCTTTCTCTATTTTTTTTTACTAACCTTATTTTGTTGGATCTCTCTAGCAAATATTTGTGCTTATACAGTAATATTTATTATTGCCTTTTTAGATGGTTTTTTTTGCCTCATTTATCACATACACTCACTGGATGATCTTACCTTTTTTATCAGGTTTACTTCTGCATTTGTCAAATTTACTTCTAAATCATAATCAAAACTACTTCTAAATTTTTAACTTCTAAGGAATGAAAACCAAAACTACTTATTTTAGGTGGAAGAACAAAAAAAAAGAAAGAAGTTATGTTCTTTTTTATCTTATTGACTTGAAACTTATCTTATACCTGAAATATTGTCATAGCGCAATTATTTTAATTGGCTTTCAAAACTAAATCATTATGTTAATAAGATTATAAGCATGAGATGATGGCTTGTTTGTGTTTATCATGACAAGAAAGTATATGCAGTTAAGTTCTTATCATATGGAGTCCGGTATCTCTTGCCATTCTATAGCTATTCTTAGTGTTTTACAATTGGATGGACGTTTTGTCCGACATTCACAAAATGTTGAGCTGCTTCTTGAATTTGTCTCTCCAAAAATTCTAGCTTAAAATACCTACAAATCCTGTAAAAAGAAAAAAGAAATAGATAGCAACACAAACTTAGAAAGGGTAAGCAAAAGATCGTAGAAGCAAAAGGAAAGAAGATAAAGAAGAACATTGGCTATTAGATCAATTTATTTGACTTAAAAGGGGAAAAGAAAGAAATTAATAAAGAAGGCTGCATTCCAGTGAAACGGAAGTAAAAGCAAGAATTTTAAGTAAGCAAGAGTTATGATTGTAACGGACTACAATTAATTTACTTTTCTCATAGATATTAAATGTAATCTTAAGTATTCTAAATGATTACTTAGTATGAATTTCCGCAAAAACCGTTTAATTTAGACAAATGCAAAACTTAAAAACCACATTTGAGGATAAATAGGCAAATCCACCCCAATACTAACATTTAATAATGCATCTACACGTGCATTATATGTTGGATGAGCACATAAAGGTTAAAAGTGCCATTTTCTTTTATATATACGTGCATTACATTCATGTACAATTTACTTTAGCTATTTTATGATAGTGACTTAAACTACTAAATTAACTCTATAAGAGGTGGATGAAAACTTATCAACAGTAAACCATAGACTCCTTTTTATATGTGTAGGAATAATTGGAACCATATGGCCACAAAAGATGACTAACAAAATCTTAGCCATCGGTTTTTTTTGTTTTGTTTTGGGAACCATTATAATGAAACGGTTTTTATTTTGGAGTTGTCCGCTTCCGAATGGCATTGCTAATTTGGTAAGCACTTGAAGACAGAAAGAAAGCATCTTTTGGGAAAAGTGCTCCAGGTCAAGGGGTCTTTAATTTTATGTCACACCGAAAAGTTACTCTAAACGAATTCAGGTACCATGCTATTAACTCCTAATAAATATAGTTGACTTACAAATTCTATTCTGTTTTGATTAATCATGACAACTCGCAAATACCTTCAATATTCTTAGGAATGACAATGAAACAGGGGTGAGATGGGATTCCTTGCTCCTAACCAGTCATCCAAAAGCTCCCCTCATCCCCTGTCCTGTCCCTCATTGCCCTTACCCCTATCCCATCTAGTTACTATTTTTATTTTATATTTAACTTTATTGTTGTATACTAATCATTCCTTTGTATCTTTTGCAAAAGAAAAAACTTAATATGAAACAAAGTTTAAAAGTTATTTTGATCTTGTGAATCTGTTTCTCTATATTTGATATTACATAAAATCTAAAACAATTATTGTTATTTTTTTTAAACTATATACCATAACCAAAAAAAAAGGTAAACTAACATAATATGTTTATCATTTTATAACCACAAAAAATTAACAAGAAGGATTACATTATTTGTCATAAGAAAATATCACATTATCAATTTTATATTATATGTATACAATTATATCTAATTATATATTATATATTTATATATATAATATTAAAAAATTAAGCACGGGCCAGGACGGGGAACAGACCCTTGTTTAAAAGCCCGGGTGAGAATAACTCCACCTAGACCCGCCCTCACCCTACTGGCAGCCACCCACCCGTTGCCATCCCTAAGTATCGTTCAATTTCATAGGATGCTTACAACCAACAAGACGAACTTTTTCTTCTTAATTAACGAGTCTGAGAACTGAGAGCCAAAATGCAGTAATGCCTCCAGCCATTTAATGGAAGAAAGCAATTTGCTTATTATCCCAAAAATGGAATTTTGATCCATGGACCTTTTACAAGAGTTCGCAAAATTTCTAGGGTTAAGAGTCATAAAATTTTTGAGAATGTCAGGACAAAAGTACAAATTTATTTTCTGTAATTTGCATATTTTCACATCTGTTTCCAGTGTCCGTGTCTCAGGCTGTATGTCTATCTATTTTTGTTTCTTTCTCCCACTTTTTCTTTTTTGACTTTTCTTTTGCACTTGTATATGAATAAATTAGACTGATTAGTTGGGAATCTGGAAGTTACGGTTTTGAAAATCAATTATGTGTATTGTATTCAAAGAAGAAAAGTTTGCAATCCATATAACTACACAAGTGCTAGCTGCAACTTGGTAATCACGTATTATCAAGAGTAACTTTTTTCCTAGTATAGATATGTTATTTCTAGTGCATGTTTAACTTATAATTACTGTAGATTTTTCTAATCTAAATCAAATTGTGCTGGATAATTTTTAACAATTTCGTAAATGAAATTTACTTTAATAAAAAAAAGGGTACAAATTTTTTAAATGACCTTTTTGCTCTATTTAATTTCCGATGCTTCAGACATACAAACAAAACCTTGGTTTGTTACCTACTTTAGATTTCAAACGACTTGCTTTGTTACCTTTCTATTACTCTAATTTTCTGCGTAATTCAAAATTGCGCGATCACAATTTGATAACGTCAAAATATATTCATGGGCGTGAAAGTGTAAGAACCCGAAAATTTTCTTATTTTATCTCATATTACTGGCTTTTCTAAATGTTTATTCACTTGTTTTCTCCGAACAATTTATGTCAACCCTTTTAAATTCATTTTTATGGAACCATGTCTTATTTATACTTTTAAAACGTCTCGCTAACAAATTTAAATTTTTCGAAGGCTCGTTTATTAAGGAATAACAAATACACACCTTCAAGATGATAGTCGATCTGAGAGTACAATGATTTTGGAGAATTAAGGATGATCAATAGGGGACTAAGAAGAGTTAATTGAGAGATGAGATGTGATTAAATTAAATAAAGTTTTTATTATGCGTACGTCGATAATTTCTCGAAAGTCGTACCGCACGACAAATTGGAGACTTGAGAAACTAATACTAGACTCGTGTGAGGACTCGCAAATTTACTTATTTTAAACTCTTATTACTAGCTTATTTAAATATTTAATTGTCTGTTTGCTCCGAATATTTTATTCTAACCTTTTTAGACCCAATTACATGGAACTATGACTTGTATATATTTTTAAAATGACTTGTTACAAAATTTAATTTTTGGAAGCTCGACTAGTGAGAATAGTGAACACGCGTTTGGAGGCAATAATCGATTTGAGGGTACAGTGAGCTTGGAGATTGAGGACTCATACATTAGTTTTAAAATATGTATTTTTATGTTTAAGTACTCAAGTATTAGTTAGAAATACTATCGTTACAAGAATTTCTTAGAAATTTCGTTCTATCGTGCATAAATCGAAAGTACGCATTTTCGAGCACGCGATTAATCGAGGGACTTTAGACCTTTATTTTTAGACTATTAAGAGTGAATAATAATAGTATCAATGGAAGTGCATTAGAGGTTTAGTGCACAAATGAAACAAAGCCGAGAGGAAACGAGCACGAAACGCGCGCGTACGCGCACTATTCCTAGTTGACTTTTTGAGCATTGTTGGCCACACATTCTTAAGCTTCCTCAAGAAGCTTTTGCAGCTGCAACAACTCTCTCTTTCTCACTCAAACAGCCGTGCATCACCTTGGAGAAGAAGACCAAAAATTTTCCTTCATTTCACCTCATTTTCTTGCACCAAATCACCTCAAATTCACACTACACCTTGCAAATAACTTGGAGATCAACTTAAGTTAGGAAAGAAACTTCAACCTCACGGTTTTCTTGAGCTTCAAAGGACCAAAAATTTCTGCTCTAGCAACATCTAGGAGGTAATGACGATCAAACCTTTGAATCTTAGTTTTTGTAAGTTATATTGCACTTAGAAGCTTGTAGTTTCATGTGGGTAGTTTTGGATTGTTGTAGATCTTGTGAGTGGGTTCTATGAAATCCCACAATGGACTTGCTGAACTGATGTGATGATATTGGTTGTTGTTTATGTTGAATTAGTGGTTAAACTAGTGATTATAAGTTGAAAAGTGGAAAGAAAACTCAAAGGAAACAAAAGGAAGAAAAGTGCCGGTTCTGCCCCTGCTTTGCCGCACCTGTTGGTGCAAATTTTTGTGGTCCAATTGAATTTTTTTTAATGTAGATATATTGTATAGGTTGTGTGAAAAGTTTCCACCAAAAATCACTTGATTTGGTTGGCCAAAAGTTGAGATTTTGAAATTTCTTTACAACTGGAAAACATGTCCAGAGTTGTTCTGGCAGTGATTTTGAAATGACCATAACTCTTTGCTCTGACGTCAAAATTGAGTGCCATTTGCAGCATTAGAAACTAGACACTTCCAGTTTTCTAACGGTATAAAATGTATCCCCTGATTCCACTTGAGTGAACCATACCAGCCTTTCAAAGTCACCTGTCCTGTTTCTCCTCTGTGTTGGAAAATCTGTTATGAGCTGCGACTTGATGCTCGAATATGAATTAGTTGTGGACAGAATTTTAAAATGATTTCTTCTGAGAAATTGTAGCCTTGTGAATTTATTTTCCAACGCCACCAACCACACTCAATTCCAAGTTGAATTGAGTGAATTATGGCCAAACTGCAGACCTGCATCATTGCTTGAAAACCCTCATTTTTGGACTGATCAATGGCCGATCTTGTTTGGGACTTGGTATTTTGAAACTCTTGGTGTTAATCACCTACCAAACACATTTTGGATATTTCCTAGACCTTTTCTTCATAAATGAACCATGCTTAAGATGATTTCATTGACCCAAAAGTTAGGAAAAGGAAAATTGAAGTACAAGGCAGATTTGCCTTGAAAATTCTTGGAATTTTAGTGGCTTTGTTGACTGACTTCCTGTACGAATTTTTACATGAAATTCGACAGAGGAATAACCCTTATATGGTAGGTAATACTACTAAATTTGGTACCATTCTGAGTTCATTTCGACGCCCAACCAAAGTCTCAAAGTTCATGTTTCAAACCTGGAAAATTGCTCAATGGTCCTCATTTTGAACCAACTTTGAGCTGCTATATCTTGGCGCTCAAAACTCCGATTCTTGTTCTGTTTGTTGTGTTTTAAACTTTGATTGTAACTCTAAATGATTTTCAAATTTGAGAGACTAGTTCATATTCTGTGAATTTTGCCGAATTTTCAAAGTTAGCCAAAAACCAACCCCGAAACTGTCTTGGTAGCCCAAAACAACAACTTTGAGCCGGATTTTGAATGTCATCCATTTGGAATCATGGAAAAATGTCTTCTAGGAACTTTTAGTACTTTGGAAGTAGTTTCCAATGGTACCAAGTTTTCCAATTTTGGATCTACAGAGAGTGAGATACGATTTTCCAAAATTTGCTTGTCAAATATAAAATTTTCAAACTTAAAGGAAATTGAGTTTTTAGAACTCACCTTTTTCCTTCGATATTGCTTGATCATTTTGCACTTGATTTCAAAAATGGAAATCAGATTTCTCTTGTGTTTTAAAATTTCACTTTTGAGTCTCGACTTACGAGTAATTAAGGCTCATCTTCATGATATTTTTCTAGATTGTACAAGTGTGCAATCTTCCGTGATAATTGGAGTTCTAAGTGGTAGTTCATTATCAATTGCTCAGGCACTCAAGAGGACTTTCAAGAGGATCCCACGGTGGACGGCTGAATCCTCAAGTGTGCTTTACTTCTTGAATTACTTGGTGAGTGTCAAGTGTATGTGAACTTAATACGTGCTTAATTGCTATTAGTGATTGGAGATTTTGAAAATGCTGAGTCGAGTGTGTACTTTATCGCACTCGTTCTCATTTAAACAAAGTGTACTTGAATTACTTGACATGAAATGTTTGAATTGCTTGAAGTGACTTGTTAAGTGAATTAAGTGAAGTGTTTAAGTGACTATTTATGCTATGGCTGCATAAGTCGATTGGAGTGAATCTCCTCGACTCTTAATGATAAGCGTGAGGGATGCCCAATTCTCACTAGCCAACCTTGGACTCGAGCCGGCATGAGCTTGGTCCGGCTCCTTGGTGAACCATGAGAAAACAAAAGCTTGACTTATTGAGAGGTCTTGCTTGGCATACTCGAGCAGTATCGCCTCAAACAAATGAAAGGCGGACCCCGTACAGGGGTATGTAACGGTGAAAGGGGACAGGATAAGTGAAGTTCTACGGACTATAACCTATCCGATTGACGGAGTGTCAACTCGTGGAGGTTCTTGATCATGCAAGTGGACAATAGCTCCTGAGAGCTCCTATATCCTTGAATTGTTTCTGTTTCTGTTTACTGTTCTCGCTTGAATTGTCATTTACTTGAATATTATTGTTCTACTCGTTAATTGGATTGTTACTTGGACAACGTGCATGCATGTGTGTTCTTGGCCTCACGAGCAATTGCTCACCCCGTAGATTTGTTTTCCTTAACAGGTATGGACATGGAGCGAAACTCGGAGAAACCCTTTGGATGTACTTTTATATTAGGGTTTTAAATGTAATTGATTAGACATTGTGGATGTTGTATATTTTGAAAATTGATGTATCTTTTGGGAACCTAGTGTAAGAATTGGATAACTGATGTATCTTGAACTCGTGGTGTAAGATTTGGATATTCGATTATGGAAGCGACTTTTCCTTTATTTGGCTTGTATTAATCGTTATGTATCGTTAAGCGTGAATCGTTGCCTTGAGTCCTGGCGAGAGCTAGACTGGCGTCCCGCGGATACCCTTTGGTTCGCCTTAGGAAGAAATGAGGGCGTCACAGAAAGAACAATCCATGAATTGCCTCCAGTTATTTCTTAAAAGTTTAGTAAGTAACTAATTACCTAGATTTCAAGTTCAGGGTTCGGATCCTTAACTTCACAAATTGGGGGTAGGAAGGGTGTGGATACGGGTGAAAGGGTTAAAAAAAAAATTAATCACACATATACTGACAATGTATACATTATTATGATTGGATGCTTGATAACAATATAAAATTTTAATTTTAATTTAAAATTCAGATTAATTGTCAAGTATACAATGATGATAATGTATACGCTATCACATATATAAAATTAATCCTTAATAAAAAGTCAAAAAATAATTAAAATGCAAGAAAAAATCTTCCCGTGCAGCGGTGGGAGGTTTAACTTTCACGCTCATAATAGTTTACAACAATTTTCACCATCCGAAAGGATTTTCTGTAATAACATTTTCTCTTTGGGACCAATCTCTTTACTCCTGCTTTACCATCAAGTATTCAGAAAAATGCTTCCACTTTAATTAAGTGATGGCTAATCTAATTGTATCAAATTAACAACAAAATACTTTTGAATTTGCTTGTTTCTTTCTTTAGATAAGATAACGATGCTAGTATATTAGTACATATGTGATAAACAATCATTGATTTTTAATCCTATACTAAGATAATCCACAATTTTGTGCTTGTGCACATAGAATTGATTATGACTTAAAGCATTATGCCAATGATTATCACCCATCGGTTTTGATGGGTTCTCCATCATTTATCATTAAAAGCATTATGGCGATGATTATCAGAAGGCTTACGTGTTTAAGCACTTAACAGCTACTTTTTTGTCTATGCTCAATAGTAAGCACTTTTAGTCTAAAAGAAAAGCGTCTATTAAGAAAAAAAAATTCCAGGCCATGGGGTCTTCTAACATCCAAGTAAATGCACAAACAACACTGATGAAATATCAAAATTGTGACTTTCAGTTATATAATTGAATGTACACTTTTTTTAAAAAAATTCATTTATCAGGACAATTTGAACAAGGCAAGTCTGATGACAGATTTGATTTCCTCTTATGCAAGTGCCTCTAATGTTCTTCAATTTCAATAGATGATTAGGATAATTGGATCAACAAGACAAACTTTACTTGTTTCATCAGTGATAACCAGATTCAAGTATGGGTATCCATTGATTTATGGCAAGAAATCAATTTGTATAGTTTCACAACAGAAAATAGGAGTGTAGCGTTTGGGCCATCTTTCACCAATCTGTTCGCAAAGTTTCCATGGCTGGGGTATGAATTCTAAACTTTTGATAGAGTAAGGACTAAAGTGCAACTTTATTTTCTTTTTCTTTTTGACGTTTCTTTTCCCCTGCCATATAAAAGTTTGAGTCAGAATTGCATGCGAACAAAAGAATTTTGCAATCCATACGGCAAATTAGCAAGCAAGCATTCAGAGTAACGTTTTCTTTTACAACTTTTTAGCTATGTTTATTTTTCAATATTTCGAATTTACGAACATAAAAAATTACTTGGTATTACTCTACATCTCTTCGTATTGCAAAAAATAAAAAAAAATAAAAACGTAATTTGATATTGCCCGAATATGATAATCACCATTAAAGGAATATTCGTGATTGTGCTGCTAATTAATTTTCGAAAGTTATGCTAAGTGAATGATTTATTTGCAAAGTGTGTGTCTCCACGGGCAGCAATTGAGAGGCGTGTTTATCAAGCTCATAATAGTTTATCACAATTTCCACCGCCCGACAGGAGGCAATTTAATTAACTTTCCCTTTTCTTTTCACCAATACTTCTTACAAGCAGATAATGATATTTCTTCTGCTTCATCCATTTCATGCTTTACAGCAGCATGAAGTTTAATATACATAGAGCCTTAAAGCACTAATCTGCAATGCTAACAAAATCATTTGCGAGAAAATTTCAAGAAAAGAAAAAGTAGCCCCAATTTTAATCATCTCCCTAATATAACTTTTCTCTGTTGGATCTTCTTTATTATACATTTTCCTTTTAAAATTTACATCTTCATAGGTGAAAAGATTTTTTTTTTTTAAAAAAAAACAGCTTTCCACTGAATGTTACCCTTGCTAAACTGCCGTGACTTTATTCATGAAGCTTTCGATTTTAGATGTTGATTGCAAGGCTACTGATGTTTGTAAAGACTCATTTGGTGGTAGTAAGAATTTAAGACACATACAAGAAAGTTGAATAGTTGAAAAAATCAACCGACTTTGAGCCATTGTATCTGATCTTTGTTGTGCCATTGCCTTTTTGTTGATCAATTCAAGTTGAGAAATCTTGTGGCTTTGGACAATCTATGCATAAGTAAAGGTGCATTAGAAACCAATACAGCTCAAATAACACTTCTAGCAAGACACGCCAAATAAACTTAATTTGAACTATTGCCAGCTAAATGTTGCTCTAGTTAAATTAAACGACAACTAAGCTCATGGATGTCAGAACTATTCACTGACAACCTTACTTGCATCTAGAAAGGAGTTGCAAAATACTAGATCAGATAACTAGCGAATGTTAATTGGAGTCCAAAATTTAGGCTAATCTGGAGGACAACCATAAACTATAGTCAATTCATTTATCATTTTTTCAAAAATTGGCTATTCTAGCATCAAATGTTCAGAAAACGAAAATCTGTCTTAGCAGCTATTACACCAAGAGAATAGCTTCCACTATGGAATGAACATGTTAAATATGTTTCCCCGAAGACAGTATTAACCACACCAAGTTTACCTAGACCTCTTCACCCCCCCCCCCCCCCCACAAATATATTAATTGACCAACTGGAATTTTCTATTTCTTTTTTGATGCGCTCTGAAACTTGTAGCTGTAATTAACCAAGTTGGTGAACATACATATGGCATAACATTCAACTGTTTGAATGCTGTTCTTATCTAGATACTCTACCAGAAGAGTACTCTACTTCCCATAATCTACCACGTTAAGAGGGTTGAGTTTTAAAATTGCAAATCGAATCTCTTGAGATGTAGGCCTTTCAACCAATTGGGCTAATGAATACTACATCAATGGAATTATATAAATGCATCATCCAATTGCTGCATTGCAATCATCATTCCTCTCTTTTTCTGAGTTACATCACTGATTAACTGCTTGAAAACAATGGCCGCTTCAGTTTTTCTATTGACATGCTTCCTACTAGTTTTGGGCCTCAATGTTGTCAATGGACAGCCTCTAGTTCCTGCACTATACTTGTTTGGGGATTCTATTGTTGATGTGGGAAACAATAACTATTTAGAGACTCTAATCAAAGCCAACTTCCCCCCTTATGGAAGAGACTTCATTAACCATGAAGCAACTGGGAGGTTCTGCAATGGGAAGCTTGCCACAGATTTTACTGGTACTTCTCTTCAATCTCAACCCTCCTATCATTTTCTCCTCCCTTTGTTTTCTCAATGCAAATGTATGATTTTTACAGGTATCTAACGAATTTTAGCTAATGCAGGTGAGAATCTAGGCTTCACTGATTATCCAAAGCCTTATCTGAGCAATAAGGCGAAAACAACGAAAAACATGTTGCTTGGGGCCAACTTTGCTTCAGCAGGTTCTGGTTATTATGAAGCTACAGCAAAAATATATGTAAGTACAAAGTCTTTTACTATGTACAGACATTCTATATACAAGTGTAATGCTGATCAGATGATAATATTAACTGTATATTTTATATGGTTTAGAATACCCTTTCACTAAGCAAGCAGCTGGCACTTTACAAGGACTACCAGAATAGGCTAGTTGTGATTCTGGGGAAAGTCAATGCTTCAGCCACCATAAATGGTTCAATCCACTTTCTGAGTGATGGAAGCAGTGACTTTGTTCAGAACTACTACATCAATCCTCTGCTCTACAAGAAATACACACCTGATCAGTTCTCAGACATCCTCATCCAATCCTATGTAAATTTTGTACAGGTAATGTTTTCTCCACGAACACTATTGCTCTCTGATTGCATATCTGCAACTGCAATTCCAGGAGTAATAATCTTGATGCAGCACATAAGTTAGGTGAATTTTATATAATCCATCTGCTCTAAAGTTAAATTCTTGCAAATTCTGCAATAGGCACTGTACAAGTTGGGAGCAAGAAAGATTGGAGTCACAACATTGCCACCAATTGGATGTCTTCCAGCATCCATAACTCTGTTTAGCGAGGATACCAACAAATGCGTTGAGAAGATGAATGCAGCAGCTGTTTCATTCAACAATAAGCTTAACATGACATCGCAAAGCTTAAAACAAAAGCTCCCCAATCTCAATCTTCTTGTCTTGGATATCTATCAGCCACTTTTAGACCTTGTCACCAAACCTATAGATAATGGTACTTGTCAACTTCCTCATTCTCTAATTGAATGCAGAAAACTACTAATCCTGATTAAATTATTTTTCTCTCGTTTGTTATTCATTCAAGAGTGGAAAGAGTGAGGCCAAAGGTTGAATTGAGGCAAGATTATACATATACTGAAATCAATTATTTTGCAGGATTTTTTGAAGCAAGAAAGGCATGTTGTGGTTCGGGGCTGATAGAGACATCTTTTCTGTGCAATGCCAAGTCTCCAGGAACATGTGCAAATGCATCAGAGTATGTGTTTTGGGATGGATTCCACCCAACAGAAGCTGCAAACAAAGTTTTATCTAATGACTTGCTAGTCAGCGGCCTCAACCTTATCTAATGTCTTCCACTAATTAAAGACAATGCATAAGAGTAATAATTTGATGTATTCCCCAGGTCAAGTTTGTTGCAATTGTAATTGAGTATTTCCCTTTATCGTAATGAAATTTATGAATTGTGCGTGCATCCATCAACAGTTTTATTACAGAGCACTTAATATATTTGATTATAAAACAAGCATTAGA